GAGAGAGAGAGAGGTGGGAGGGGGTGGAAATGTGCGAATCAACCGACAGAGGAAATAAAGCATTTCGGACGGTAGGGGCATAATTTTCGTTCCTTCCGCGACCGTATTTCGTGGAGACAATGCGCCCTGGGTATCGCAATCCCGGATGCAACCGACCCAGAAAACACGGCTGGGATTACTGTACCGCGATAGCTTGCTTTCTACTCGTCTGTCTGTCTCTACGTCTCTAGATCCGCACTTCCGCCTACTTGCGATTACTTGGAAGTCCCAGAGGGTGTAAAAGGAAGAGCAGGTACTGTACAGCGACGCTCGCGAAATTTAAGTTAAGACGGAATACCGAGATGAAATGTTATAAATCATATAATATGAAAGTTATGTAATATATAGATATTGTATAGGTTTATATATTCTTACTTATTCTACCTATTGACGAAATCCTGGCAAAGTGCAAGACTGATTTATGGATATTTATTAATACTTCGGTTTCAGGCTTTTCCATTTAGAAAATCGTGTTATCGAAGAAATTGAAAAAAATTTTTTTGATCTTTGTTTTAATAAGAAAATTATTGTTTTTACGAAAATCTTCATTAATTTATTTCATTTCTTACGTTATACAGAAATTGAAATGTTCTCGCACGTTTCAGAAATTTGATACTGTTCCAGAAACGCACAAAATTATTAGAGTGACAGATGTATTCCATCATTCTCAGTCATCAGGCTTAGTGTTACAACTTGAATAAATTCATGAAATGTCATTAATGTCAGTATTGTGACATGTCTATTATCCTTTAAGACAAAAGACCTTGTCAATGTAATTGATTACGTGTAATATGAGATTCGATCTGATGCAAAAACAGATCACACAATTTCGTTAGGACGATTTCGTTTAGTTATCAAGTATCGTTTTATAGATATTGATTTTTAGGAGGATGTTGGGATTACATTTATACGCGGATAAATCTTCAATATTGTCATTGTAGATAAAATTGGAGAAGGATATTCAGATAAATTCTGAAAGTTTTCCAAAACGACACTGTCATAGTCATAATACCATGTGTCCAATAGTTTCTTCTATACATTTAAATGCCAATATCTTCCTACGAATGTATATACGCTTCTTCTTATATACACTTATCCATCGCCACAATGCGTACAAATAAATGTATCGGAAACGCGTTTCACTATTTTTCCTTACTTATCAAAGTATTTGTATACGCGAAGGTATAGACGCGTCGAGTCGCTTCCCGGCAGTACGTGGACGAACTTCGGTACTCCGAGGTATGCCATTATCAAACACATCCACTATGAAGTTAGACAACTTCGATGGGAACCGAAGAAGCGCACGAAGAAGGCGGCTAAAGTTAGCCGATGAATCTGCCGGGAATAGTCTTCCAACGTTTCATCAAGTTTGCAAGGCGGGCCGCGATCCGACCCGTTCATCCTCATTTTTTACTCGAATCAGATGTACTTTTACACACGCGCATATACCGAAACTTTTTGCCGCCGCGAAATTCCTGAGCGAGATATTATACGCTACGGGAAAACACCGGCACGACAGTTGGATATGCGCGCAGGCCTGTGTTTTATTGCCACCACCGGCGAATAAATATGCGGACATTTCCGCCACGGCCTCCTACTCGACCATAAAAATGATAAAGAAGGGTATCGACTGCCCGACCACCTTAAAATGCTGGAATACATATGGAAACGCACTATCACGTCGACGTCGTCCGCCTTTCGCCTGAAATCAATGCGCACCCCCCCCCCGTCACCTTTTTCTCGCGATAGTCGCGATCGCTTCCGAAGATCTTGCCGCACTCGCACTCGTACTGCAAACTCACTTCCTCTTCGTGTTCTACGGATAAAACTTCTTACCGCTGGTCATTCTTAGTTCTCAAGTACTTCGTCACACTAAAGTTTTCTAAAGCTGTGAACGCCCGTACTTTGGTCTTTCCTCCGAATCATTGATGGTTATTTAAAAAGTAATTGCGTTAATGAAATTAACTATTTATTTTTAATAAAATTAATTAAAAATTCTTAAATGAAATAATAATAAAAATTCTAATTTTTTTAATAGACGATAATTAGTTAGCTAATCATATCATCATTACATTTAATGTAATTATTTGTTTGCAGGTACATCGAAGCATATCGAAGATGCAGTGAAAGATTCAGCTCTCTTCGTGGAAGTTGTCACATGTCCGGTAGGTGATTCACAATTTTGAGTTTATCACATAATAAATATAACAATATGCAAAGCAAAATAGGTTAAGTAGACGATTATTTTATCGCTTAATGAGTCGTCAATTGTGTACAAATTCAGAACGTTTGAAGATATTCAATTTCCGATACTATCGCTCATTCGCAGTTGAAAATTTTATGAGCTGAATCAAAGATCCGAAGTTTATATAAAAATCCATGAAAAGTTTCTTACTCCCTGCGGCGACGATTTCCAGGAAATATTCGTTTCAAGCTACTTCGGCCGGTAAGTGCACCGACGTCCCTCATGAATTTCATAAAGTTTCATCCGTCCTGTACATCGGGAGTTTCACGAGGCCCGCGAAAATTGATGCCACTCGACGCTCGCGTAAAGCTTCGTCAAAATCGAAATCTAAGCTACGGCGTCCATATACCCGTGGTACAGTCCCTGGCACTATGAATCTCGGTCGGCTTTCGCGTTCAAAAATGGAATTACTACTCGACCGCTCGAGCCAATCCAATCAATTCATATGAGAGGCTTATAACATGAATTTCATAAAAAGAATAACGGAAGATATTTTTTAAGCACGTGAGTATAACAGGCCAAAGCCCGAGTCACTATTTTCAATATCTGCACGTCTTATTTTCGACTGTATATCGGAGAATGAAAATTGCTCCTTTAACACGGATTATAAATTATGCGAGAGAAAATTGATAATTGAAAGAGATTGAATTGGTAATGTAAGTATATCAGGAATGAAATGCAGTAGAATTAATTTATTTTTAGTATATCAGTGCAGACTTTCAGCTTTTCTAAATTTTTAATAAATGCGATTCTGGATATAAACGACGTTACTCAATTCTTTAATTTTGTATTTATTAAATATATAAATCCTTTATATCTTCTTGTACTCATTCATTTGTCCCTGTGTATATAGTTCGATAATATTGGAACGACCGATTTGTCTTACCTGTTAATTCAAGCGCTTTCTTCATTGTGCGATGAAGCTTATTCCCTCGCGATGAATGTCACGCGTTATTGCGCACCGTCTACGGTGTTTCGTGTAAAATTCATTCCCCTTTATAACGATAATGACCCTCCGTACTACATCCGCTCACTGAATCATTCATGACGGCGTGGGGTCAGGCTTGTGGAGCCTTCGTCAGCTGCCGTGCGATTACCGTGCATTAGTCCGGGTAAAGTCTCGCATTCTCCAAGAGGACAAAAGTGCCTTTCAGAAAATGAGAAAATACTAAAAATCCCTAAAATTACTTTACCACCACCTCTACCGCCATTACTATCACTAACTTTAACGGGAAACGCAAATGTCGCTCTCGCGCCACGCTTTTTTACCTAGATTTCTCACGTCGTTACCGCATCTCAAGTTTTATCGATCTTATTGCCGGCATCCCGCCGGTTCCGAATGTTTTTCCAATATCCGTGACTGGATTTTGCGACATGACAAATGCAGCACAGATAAATCGTGCTCATTATTTACTTCTCGATTTCAAATACTTTGTGCGCGGCAAGAAATAAGATATATCGCGCGGTTTCGATTATTCACGCGACTTTTGAAATAACTACGCCAGTAAGATGTAATCATATTCTCTCTTCGATCTGAACATTGTCCTATCTGAATCCTTTTCTATAAGCGCGTAATTCTCTAGAAATGAAAACAAGTAAATCCTTGTTATTTATTTCAACGTAAGATAACAATTTTACGGGTGGCGATGATGAAAAAGAAAGAGAGATGAAAGAATGATGCCCACGTCGTCGAATTCGAATTGTTCTATTGAATTGGTGAGGCCAATTAATGATCTCTTCCTCATTTTCTTAGCGCCATCCACTTTTCTTTCCTCACGTTTTCGTCCTTTTTAATAAGTTCTTTCTGAGATTTCTGGTCGGATAAGTCCTGGGAAAGCGTGCAAAACGGAGGCAAGGATAAGTCCATTGCGAATGCGTAAGCGAATTACGGAAGTTCTTTGCTGGAGCGAAAAGAGTCGACCAGAGCGACGGAACTGGAGAGAAATCCTTTCAGCATTTTCCCGTTTCGTGGATGTTCCATGGACATTGCCAAGCTAAAACACGGTTTCTGGGACTAATGGAAACGCATTAATTTATCGCGATATCGTGAATAGAAACTCGTTCGCACGCTCCGCGTTCCTTTAATAAATTGTATTAACCTCATTACACAAATGAACAGATGTCTTCCTGAAATAAAGATTCAGGATACACATTCCTGAAAAGTACAATAATGGATACCAATATTATGCGTCCGTTTTAAAATCTTTCAAATAACTGTGAACGTGAACTTTCAATATCACGAGAAAATGTATGTAATCCTTTTGCAGTCGCAAAATATTGGCATCCGCCACGGATACAATTCTCATATCGTCATCGATCATATTTTGCATACACGTTACACACAGCGCACACTCCTTCTTCCTTTTATAAATTGCAATCAATCTCTAAGTAAATAGATTCGGGCGACAGAACTGTGATTAAAATTGATTTCACGGATAGCATACTTTATGAGAGAATTTCTTTCGTCGTTATCCACCGGACGAGAATGATCACGCGGATTCAAATAGAAATATATTGAGCGACCTGCCGATGTCGGTCCAATCAAGCCGCGGACCAGCGGATTATATGTCTACGAGGGAATTCACGTCGGGAATCTCCGCGCGCGAACCGTTCGCCTCGATATATCGGTTGACCTGTTATTATCAGAAATAATAAGCTCACAGCTGACCGGCGGTTCCTCGTGGGAATCACCCTATTGGACACCCGATGACGATCCTCCCTTGCGACCGCAAATACGGACAGCACGAGAGCACTTGACCGACTTTTCCAATTGGTCCCGCTAAACTTATCCGATCGGACAGCAGCCGAGCCTGTGCTCCCCCCTGCCCCTCTCTCCTCTCTCTCTCTTTCTTTCTATCTGTCACACACGCACACACACACACACATACGTACACACACATATATACATGCTCGCTCACTCACTTTCCTCCACTCAGGCCAATAATATCTCGCGGAACGTGGTGACCATAGGATCGCCTCGAGGATGCAACGATCTGGTGGGAAACGCGGGTTGAGGGAATGCGATCGATACGATAAAAAAGTGAGAACGTGGAAGCTTTCGCTAATACGAAGTGCTTGATTCTCTGCGGACGAAACTTTAATTACATCCGGCGAATGCTGTAGAAATGAGACCGCGGTATATATGTGTACGTTACAGAAGAAGTTGCAGTTTAAGTACGCGCGAAAGTTATGAAGATACTTAACACAATTTCGGAACCATAGTTACATAATTTTGCGATGATGTATTCATCGCTTTGCCTCTGTTTATTGACGCGTATACCAATATAACAACGTTATCGTATTCTAAAAGGGGCTTCTGTTCTATTGATTTCTTGTATCGTTGGTGCCTGACGCATGTATAGCGTCGATTGCACGAATTTTCATCGTGCGTATATAAAGAGAGCCTTTCTCTATACACTCCATTCACGGTAATGAAATGCGATTGAATTATCGAGAAGTTTAACGATCTAAAGTTCGTCTGATGACGGAGAGACATTCCATTCCGACGGATCGAAGAGTTGAAGTAAAATTCTCGCATTTCTCATTCGCGATATCACTTTAAAGTCAAAGTGAGAAGGAGATGGGCGGTAGCGTAGCGTAAGATTTTAGCGGCGACAGCGTTAAGCTAAGCCGTAATCGTCTTATTTCCGTGTTAAATCTCTTCTTCTCTTATCCTTATGCTTCGGGAGTGGAAGGTGCCACGAATACCAAGCGGATGATATGACTGGCACCATTGTTCTCAGCTTACACCCTCCGCTACACAGTTATAAGCCGCCGCCCTGGCGGCGAGAAACATGCGAATTAAAAGCTGTTTCCTCAAGATGAGTCGTCGTGTTATGAGATGAGCTTTGACCAGCCAGACAGGATACCGGCATAATATCGCTGTCATACTAGATGCTGTAATCCTTTACTAATGCTGTAATTCATTTTTTGCTTCTTTCACCATACAGACGAAATTTTAAAATGTAATTACATTTAAATCTTAATTAACGTATGCTAATGTTTATGGAAATGGCCGTATTTCCCATAAGATTTTTCACATTCCCTAAAAATTGTGAATTGTTAAGACAATTTGCCGAGTTAATCAATTTTGTGAAACGCTTAATTTCACAGACGCGCAGATGTATATCTATCTTCATTGAACTTAGATCTGCTTTCGGACTAGAGCGTTGTCTTACTGTAGATCCGATTCGCTTTTGATTTTAAGTGACGAAGGTACTGTATCAAGTAACAAGTACGCGCTATAAACTAGAATTTCGCGTAAGACACGATGGATCTTATTGCACTTAAGACAGCTTGGTATTTGCATTGCTCTATTGTTATAATTAAGAAAATTTTGTTGTTGTGATATAAAAGAAGAATATAAATACAATGCATCATTTAATATTAAATTATGCCCAAGATAACATTATGCATTTTGCAAAGTTCTTTAAATGCGATAATTAATATATAATGTAATTTCATGTTTACATTGATTTTATGAGATTTTATAATATTATTTTAACGAATGGAACTAGATTATTGATTATTGATGTTTATTTTATTAAATGCAGTTTAATTTCATATGAATATTGAAATATATGCAGAGGATGTTTATAAATGCATTATTATGACTTTATTGCATTATTTTTATAGAAACTTATAAATACTAAATATATTGGCATATATTTTTATTTAATTTTATTATCCGAGGATTTGTTAACAGAAATTACCGAGAAAGTATTATAACGTGTATACAATGTACACGTAAAAGTAAGATTAATTTTATAAATGACATAATTTCTTAATATTGATGTAGCGGTAAAGAAACTTAAGAAAGCAGGTGCGTCTTTTGTATTGAAGATAAGCGCTATAATATAATATACATATACAAAATTGTAAAGTTTATTCCCGATATAAGGAAAGTTTGAGAAACTAATA